CTCTAGGAGCAATATATACAGAAGCAATACAAAGGCTCTTACCTTTAATGGTAGCCTGACATGCGACAACTTCAATACCGGGGAATTCGGGAAGATTCACTATATAGAAGGAATGGCACTTTTTGATCCCCAAAAGAACCCCTCCTCCACGTGAATCCTCACGATCCAATCGAATAATGTTAAAATCAAAAAAAGGGAGATCAATTTCTGAAGAGAGCCATGTTTCACAGAGGGCAAATGCATCGCAATTATTGTTATGGACTAAATACTTGAACGAATCTAATTTCGGAATAAGACTTCGACAATTCCACTGTAGAACAGTGATCAAATCCCCGACCTCGTTTGGAAAATTATCCATCGAAGGAGATGATAGCTGCAAGAAGGGGCCATTTTGAAGTCAATTGCTTCAAGAAGGATTTCACAGTGGGAAGCAATGTGAGGACAATGCTTTTCAGAGGATCAGAAATGTTGAGGTATTTGAGAATACCGTCCACAATGTCATCAAATGAGAACAGCCCAGATGAAGAAGGGGTTTCTGTTCTTAAAATTGGGGCATCAGGGGTTTTGGATGTCCCCGGAAGAGGTGGAAAATCCTGGGTATAGTCAGTTCTGCGGAATCCAGGAGGAGTAGAAGTCTCCTTTTTTCCACCACTCCTTGATTTAGGCAAGCTGATTTGGGGTTCTTTATTTGCAACAATCCGCGAACGGATGCGCTTTCGTTTCCGTGCAGAACCTTCCGGAAAACTGAAAGAAGTTCCCTCCTCAGCCAAGTCAAAGTCAGTCTCGTCATCTGACAAAAGAGAAAAGGGATTTTTGTCATTGGTCGATGGCGTGGCTGTCTTAAGCATTTCTGCAAAAGACCGCCTGGAACGTTCCTTAAGGGAGCGTTTCATTTTGTCCCCGAGCTGTTTGTACGCCGGGCACGACGAGAGAGCATGAGGAGGAGTTCCGTTGCAGTACACGCATTTTGGTGCAGTAGCTGCGCAGGCGCCATCCTCATGCTTCTCCCCGCATTTGGAGCAGCGTGCCTTGTTGCCGCAGTGGGAGGCCGTATGTCCAAACCGCTTACAATGCTGGCAGTTCATGACCCGAGGTACAAACAACCACACAGGAAGACGAAGTTTTCCCAGCTCGATGTATTGAGGAAGGGCAGATCCAGAAAAGGTCACCCGAAACGAGTCTGTGGGGGTAAAACTCTTTTTACCCTCGCTGAGCGATACTGACTTCATTCTATGAACGGCCAGTATCTTTACCGGAGGAAGGAAGGGGTTCTTGAATCGGCCAACCGCTTGCTTCTCCAGTATCTCGGGGTTCAGACTCGCCTCAGTGACCACGCCTTCGATCTCCACATCAGAGGCTGGAATGTACACCCTATATTCCAGTGTGAAAAACTGGGAAACAGCAATTTCATTTGGCTTGTTTCAGGTTAGCGACGGTCACACGAAGTTTGTTGTGCCTAACCTTCGTTATTTCGGTCACGGCAGAGAATCGCTTTGTCAGATCATCAGATATCTGAACAACATTCAAGGGTTTGTTTTTGGGCTGAAAATAGACAACCCATGGGCCAGTCGAGTCATTCGGGTAGGCCCGCAATCTGGAGCTTTTCTCAGCCTGCTCATTGTCAGACTGAGACGACGAACCATGGATGACATCATCATTTTTCTGAGATGAATGGTCATCCATGTCGTCTTCTGACAAAACATCCATTTTGTTCAACTAGTGGGAGCGCAAAACGCTCTCCCACTGAACGCACAGACACAATACACAGAAAACACTACAAACACAGAAATACAAAATGAAAATTTAACTAATGGGGGAGGAAAAGAAACAAAAAAAAAACAAAAACTTATCTGATAATTCTATATTACTACCACCGAGCGTTATATGTGTAGGCGTTTACACAGATGGCTGGAAGAGACGCGCAGCGTGGATGACCTTCGTTGTGGTGCACTTGATCGAGGCTCGGTACTCAGCGCACACAGGCGCACGATGATTGATGAACGATGTAGATGTAGAAACGGGTGCTCACACTCGATGATGATGATACGTAAGCGGGTATGCGTGAGCGCGTATGCGTGACCACGCAACGATGATGCCCAAATTGGTTTGCGAATTACCAATAGCACGGATTAATCGTTCCGAAAATGACACTTTCTACTACAAAAAAACTCACTTTTCGATCAATTTACCGGGAACTATGCCAGGAGTCACTTAGTGAGAAAAAAAATGATAATTTATATCAAGCGAATACCGAGAAAACTTCCAAAACAACGGAGCGCGAAACAAGTCGACCGTAGTTCTTGCTAGGACGCAGTGGGATGCATGGCCATGTTTGATTTGGATGAAACTTTGCCTCAAGATAGGTAATTATGTTTACTACCATCCGTCCATAAATCGCGAGATGGGCACTTTTAAGGAAAAAAAGTTTTTCTTACAAAAACATTTTCATTTCTGAACTGATTTTTTTTTTGGTTTGCCATTTTCACACAAAACTAAACCATTGAACCTCAAAATCATCTCAGAATCCAATGAAGCTCAATTTGCGATTCAATTTTGTCTAATCAGCACTTAAGTTCACTTTGATTAATCGAGAATTTCATATGAAAAGGGCTCATGATGCATTTCTCGCCAAATCGTATTTGGAATTGGCAGCACCCTCTCAGAGTTCAATAAAACTATTTGGACATGTAGACCCTGTCAAAAAAATATCATTCCCTTATTCTGTTGTCTACTACTGATGCAAAATTTGATAATATGTGAGAGAGAAAAGACAAGATTTTTCATATATCATTTATTTATATATTTTCTATGTTTTAAACCTATTTTCATACATGCTATTTTTCCCTTTTTCCAATCAAGTTAAATATTTTTGGTTCATCTTCTGAATGAGAATACCTTTTTGCCGCTCAATTGATCATTTTTGATAATTGATAATGATCAACAGTTTAAGAATTATGTCACAAGATGCAATAATAGAAAAAATGCTTTGTAATATTTCTACTAGAACAACTGATTGCTTTTTCCGTGCTTGCGAAAAGTGTGCTTCCAATGAACATATTGAAGAGGAACTTACTTTGCTATTAGAATCAAATGACAAACAAGATGTTGTGTTTCAATAGTGGCTGAATACTGATCGTTGTAATTTGCAAACGATTATCAAGCCTGTTGATGAATTTGTTCCGTATCTCATTGATAAAATTAACAAACTTATAACTCATGACTTTATTTACAAACAACAGTCATCTTTTCTAAGAAATTAAAAAGAATCATTAATAGAAGGCGAAATGCTAGCAATTTGTGATTTTTCTGAAAAATTTTCATTCATTATCCAAAACGCTGCTCAAGGGTATCACTGGAATAATTCTCAAGCAACAATACATCCATTTGAAGTTTATTATAAGAAAGACAATAAACTTGAAAATGTTAGCTTCATTATCATATCAGAAGTAATGACTCACGATACAGTTGCAGTTCAGTTGTTCATCTCAAAAATGACAGATTTTATTAAACAATCGATAGATTTTTCTAAAATTATTTTTATGTCAGATGGGGCAGCATCAAAATCCAAAAAAAAAAAAAAAAAAACTTTGCTAGTGTGTCAAGTCAGTGTCAGTGTGTTTAGTCAAAGCATGGATTAGAAGCAGAATGGCATTTTTTGCAACGTCTCATGCAAAAGGTCCCTGTGATGCCATTGGTGGCACTCTCAAGCTAATGGCAAAGAGAACTAGTCTTGCTCGAGATTATGAAAACACCATGACAACTCCACGAGAACTATATAACTGGGCAGTTGAACAAACAGATAAAAATATCACAAAACTACGTTTCGAGTACATATCCACTGAACAGTACATCGAAATGTCAGAAGAACTCGAAGAACTATATAATAGCACAAAGACAATATCTGGCACACAGAAATTTCACAAATGTTAGTCTAGTTAGATTTTGGAAAAACTAAGTATGCAAAGTGGCATATTTAGTCAAGGTCCACACATCCAGAAAGTTTCATTGAAATCTGAGTGGGTGCTGCCAGCTCCGAATACGATTTAGCGCGAAATGCGTCATAACGCTTATGTGCGTTAAGAATGTTTTGATTCTTTTACTTCACCGTGTTGTTCGCCACGCACATCACATCGTCACATACTTTCTGATTGTTTTACAAATTCTTATTTGCTTAATTCAAGACCAACAATTGAAATGGCCTTAACTCCATTTCGCAAACAAACCTCGTAAGGCTATTTTCTCGCGAACCGAAACCTTCATTCGCAAACCTAAACCACAATCGGCTAGAGGAGAATTTCCCCTACCTGTTCATTATTCGGTTTGCGAGAAAATGACCTTACAAGGTTAAGTCATTTTAATTGTTGGTCTTGTGTTAAACATTAATGCAAACGAACGACGTTATTTGAGCTAATTAAAACCACTTTTTAATCACATACAAACAGACGTAATACTTTCTTCGCAATCGTCGTACACGCATCGAACGATCAATCTTAATATAATTACCCCACCCCAGCGCTGTAATCGGATCACTTTGACGTTTCTATACAATATATCGAACTTGAATGCAACATTGTTTGAGACTTGACAAGCCATGCCGTTAGTGAGTTCTGTGGCGGTATATTAAAGGGAAATTTATTTAAAGAGTAACGTCTGTTTGTCTTTGTTTAAATCTTTCATCTAAATATAGCCTGCAAAAATACGTATTCTCCCACCGTGAGTTGGTTTTCAGTAGCTGCAAAGAGAAAATCCTCTTTTTTCGTTATAGCAAGTGAATGCACACGTGTGTGTGTGTGTGTAAGATAAAGTTGAAATTGGTGCCGCAGTCACGAACTCGATAATTGCGATACCCCTTCTTCAGCCCCTGGAAAAGCATAGCGAATGGGAGAAAATTACACAGAGGACACGGGTGTCGCGCTGATTATCGGTACGCGTCGTGCAGGATAATGAAGGCTTGGCTGGAGGATTTCGGTCAAGATACATTTATTGATCATTGAACAGAGCTTGGTTTAATTTCCGTGGCAGTGTTTAAGGGTAGACCCGCTTGCTTCGCTTATCTTCGACCTTGGCATGTGAGTTAGGACTTTCTCCGGGTTCCATAGCATCCGTAGTTTCAGGAGCTTCCGTGGTTTCCGTAGTTTCCGTAGATTCCGTACTTCCTTCGTTAACGCAGCTGTTGAAAAAAAGTTGATTTTAATAAATTTTCGATGGATTTTCGGATAAAAAGTTCAACAGTACTTACAAATAAAGATCATGCTTGGTAACTCTGATATGGCGCCGAATCAGGAACTTTTCGGTAAGCTCTTCAACGCGATCCTGCGCATTTGCCGGCAATTCAGTGGTTCTCGAAAGCAACCAGTAGTTTTCTAAAATGGTTTGAAAATTGAACTCTGAATCCTTCAATTATCTAGAAGGTTCCTTACCTCCTTTGATGTTATCGCTGACGGGGAAACAGCTGAACACGAATGCGAATCCTGTGTAGTCCGTGTCCAGAACCCAATAGTTGGAGCTGATTGGAGCTATTGAAATAGTCATAAATTTAATTAATCATTAACTTAAACACCCCTCAAAAACCACTTACGCATTCCACCGAAACTAACGTTCAGCTTGGCCTGCAGAGGATCCTCATCTGGGAACGAAATCACAGCCCGTCCAATTTCCTGTTCAAACAGTGAACTAGGCGGAACCAGCTGACGATTCTGCACTCTAACGGATCCGTCATCGTTCACGGAGTAGTGTGCTTGGGTGCACTCGCCGTTGCGTTGGAAGGTTTGTTCGTAGCGGGAAATTTCGTACCATTGACCTAGATAGGCTTCCACGTCGAAATTCTGCACTACTTCCACATCTTCGGGACATTGGCCGATGTTGATGATCTGAGCAAAGGAAGTTTCCACACTCAGACAGAGCACAAATGCCACCGCGGTGGCTACTAACGCTGACTTCATTTCCTGTGAAATTGATTCTTCCGAGGTGCACAAATATGTAATAACCAAGGCGGGTCGTGTGATGTGTCTATTATATAGAATTATGGTTCCGTAGGGACGGATTGGCGATTATGGAAGCTATAAAATGATTTTTCGGAAATAAAGATAACTGACCATCGCCGCATCATGGATGATAAGATTAGAATTCTTGATTGATGGGAGTTAGACTTTCAAGCCGATGCAGTACACACTAAATGGTTTTTATCAATTTTTTCATCCCAGTATCTGGGAGTTCAAACGCATACGGTCAGTGGTATAAATAGAGGTTCATCGAATCATCTAACAAAGAATATATATAGTAGGGGAAACTAACCTTTGATCCGAGGCCCGTAGGGCTGATTGTCGTTTACCATTCGACTCAGCTCAACGAGATCGGACAATACTTGTGTGTGTGCGTGTTGGGAATTTTTAAGAGTTTCGTATCTCGACAACCTTCACTCTAAATTGGACGCAACAACCGCTAAACTGAAGGTACTTTCTGGTTGTATAGAATGAATATTTTTTTGAATCAGTCTACTGGTTCCGTAGATATGTTCCGGTGAATATGGGTCCCGAGACTAGGAGTAACCTGAATCGTGCTTAACACATCATGCACCAAAAAATTCGAATTCCACGGGATAAATGAGAATCTCCTTCCAACAACACGATCATACAACCGGACAAAAAACAGGCCATCCAACAGGAGGATGTCCTAGTGAGTGGGGAGAAGAGCCCAACCTCTTTTCTAGAAAGTTATAGACAGAGAGTTGGCATTTCCACTCTCCCATCCATTGCTGATGCTCTGGTGGACCCTCCTGTACCCAGGCATGCAATTGCTCATTACAGCTAAAATGCTATTTTTCCGTATTATGAAACAATGGGATACTATAATGATAATTTTTGTTTGTAAGATGCAAGAAGAGGTGGTAAAGTTTGTATATGACATATAAAATTTGTCAATTTTGCTTTCAGAAGGTCACAACTAGCGATTTTATGATCGCTGATTGCTCGCTCATCGCGTTGCTCATCGTTACAGCTAATCGCTATTGTTTTCTTCTTTCCTTTATTTAACGTCGGTCTCTGTTCCGCAATCTAGTGCCAATCACCGACGGACATCGATTGCTATCCATTGACGGCAATCGAATGTGCAGGAAGGCAGCTTCCACACCTGTGTAGGATATCGCACCCATTCAACAAAACACATGGGCCGGGACCAACGGCTTTACTTCCCTTCCGAAGGTAGACGTGACCAGAGATTTTTATGTCTAATAGTCCCACCGACCTCGGCTGGGATTGAACCCAGACCCATTGAGGTGTTAGAAAGCAGTCACGCTTACCACTACACCACCGGTCGCTATTGTGACCCTCTGAAAGCTAAATTGACATGTTTTATGTGTAATACACACACTTTACCTTCTGATCTTGCATCTTGTAAATAAAAATTACAGTCAGGAATCCTTATTGCCGGGGTAACGGGGGCGTGAATAAGGAACCGCGAATAAGGATACCCACAGCTTACGGGATTTTCACTAATGGGGGCTGTGGTGGATTATCTCATTTGTTACAATATATAGAGCTATACTGTCTTCAACAAAGTTGTTGTACTGATCATTAGATTCAGGTTTGAATGGGAACTTCGCCGCTAGGGACGCTTCACTTTTATGTTACTTATGATGGGTGCTGGATCTTAAGTCCAACATACAATATTTCGTGATCCTGGCCATATAGAAAGTTGCTATCTTGAGAAAAGTTCATCAAGTGACCAAGTCCTTTCGAATGGTGGCCATATTAGTTCAGAACTCCCTCACTTCGCGGCGCTAGTGTGCGCATGAACTTCCTTAATATGTTATTTCTGGAAACCTTGTCCATATAAGATGTTGCTGTGCAATGCGAGGACACAAAACGAAATAGGTATGACGTGTAGAGAGGCTGTAAATCGATTTCAGACGCCATTTCAAAATCCAAGATGGTGGTCATCGATTCAAGAAAAACTGTCAAATACCCTACAATATGGGTACTTTCGGAAAGGGAACGACGTGTAGAGGCTGGAAATCGATGCCAGATGTCATTTTGGAATCCAAGATGGCGGCCATCAGTTGGGTATTTTCGGAAAAGGGATGACGTGTAGAGGCTGGAAATCGATGCCAGATGTCATTTTGGAATCCAAGATGGTGGCCATCGGTTCAAGAAAAACTATCAAATATCATACAATATGGGTATTTCCCGAAAGGGGACGACGTGTAGAGGCCGTAAATCGATGCCGAATGCCATTTTGAAATCCAAGATGGAGGCCAACGCTTCAAGAAAAACTGTCAAATACCTTACAATATGGGTATTTTCGGAACGGGGGATGACGTATAAAGAGGCTGTTAATCGGTTTCGGACGGCGTTTTAAAATCCAAGCTGGCGGTCATCGATTCAAGAAAAACTGTCAAATACCCTACAATATGCGTATTTTCGTGTAGAGACCAGAAATCGATGCCAGACGGCATTTTGGAATCCAAGATGTCGACCACCAGTTCAAAAAAAACTGTCAAATACTCTACAATATCGGTATTTCTGGATAGGGGATGACGTGTAGAGACTGTAAATCGATACCAGACGCCATTTTGTAATTCAAGATGGCAACAATCGGTTCGAGAAAAACTGTCAAATACTCTAAAATATGGGTATTTTCGGAAAGAAAATGGCGTGTAGGGGACGACGGAGAAGTTTTGCGCAGCCAATAACATTAGCTTCAAGGCTTTGCTGCTCCTTGATAACGCTCCGTTGCATCCGCCCACCATAAGCAATCCCACCATAATGCTTCTATACATGCCACCAAAGATCACGTATTTGATTCAACCCTTTGAACAAGGCATCATCAAAAATTTCAAGCTGAAGTATGTCAAGTGCATCCAAATTGATCAACATACGTTGAGACTCATAAGATGATAAGGGTAAACTCGTCTAGCCTAACTTTCTTAGAGCAATAGAAACCGTTTTTGAGCTGATTTAATGCGGTTTATATGAGTCTCTTGATATGGAGCCCAGACTATACTACAGTACTCAATGTCTAATGTTTTGATTGTGTATGGATCATTGAAATGAAAGCTAAACCTTGTAATAAACCTTAGCTTGTTGCTTGCTTTGTAGATAATGTTATTATAATGTTCAACAAAGCTTAATTTTGAATCTAGTTTAGCACCTAAATCTCTAACTTGATTGCACCTTTCAACTCTGTTTTGTCCTATTGTTACATGTTTTTGCCTAATAATTTTCTTTCTTGTAAATGAAATGGAATTACATTTAATAAAATTTTTGTGCACCAAGTGTAAAAGCTATCAATTTCTTGTTGAAATTCTACAAGGTCAGACGTTTCACGAATTTCCAGGAAAAGTTTCATGTCGTCTGCATATATTGAGCCATTCAGAATATTCAATATGTGTTCTACATCATTAACAAATATAATAAACAGTAATGGTCCAAGATGGGAACCTTGTGATGTGAACATCAATGAACACCAGATGTTACATTGACTACTGACGACAAATCTACTTCAAATCTAACTCTTTGTGTCCTACCGGTCAAGTATGACTGAATCCACTTTAATAAATGTTGACTAAAACCTGACTTAGATAATTTGAATAACAAAAGAGGGATATCAACTCTATCAAACGCTTTACTGAAGTCAGTATATAATGCCTCAACATGATGTCCCTTATCCAATGCGTTAATAAAAAATGTTACAAAATTCAACAGATTAGTAGCCGTTGAACGTCATTTAACAAAACCATGCTGTTGGCCTGTAATTAAATGTTTAACTTGTGCAAAAACAGTTTGATTTATTATTGATTCTAAGAGTTTAGGAATGCAGGACCATATAGCAACTCCACGGTAATTTTTTGCGCCTGATTTTTTTCCACTTTTGAAAATTGGAATCAAATACGATTCCTTCCAAATTGATAGAAAATAGGATTCGAGAGAAGAGTTGAACAGCCACAACAATGGCTTTACTATCTCCTGCGATACTGATTTAAAGAATACTGGTGAAAATCCATCTGGTCCTGCACCCTTTGATGCATCCAATGTATTTAGAGAATGTAAGATTTCGTTGAGGGTAACATTATTAACTACAATATCTTTCATTGGCTCAGGAAGGTATGAGAAATACGGGTAATCCCGGTCTTGGTCATCATGATTTGCATTGGCGTAGCTAGACAATTTATCTGGAGGAGGCCTAGATAATTCTGGAGGGGGACCGCGATAATTCTGGAGGGAGCCTAGATAATTCTGGAGGGGGCCTAGATAATTCTGGAGGGGCACCCCCATTAGCTACGCCAATGATGATTTGTGTAAATATCCTGAAAAAACTCAGCAAATAAATTATTGATAACGCTAGTCGTTTTTCCTGTTTTGTTGTCTAGGTAAATTTTCGAAGGATAATTACTTGACTTCTGTTTGTCTTTTACAAAGTTAAAAAATGATTGTGGGTCTGATTTAGTGTTGTCTTCAACCTGAGTGTTATACCGTTCGTATGCGCTTTTTTTAAACTCTTTATTTGTTTCAAATTCAAAATAAATTACAATTCATTTTAACCTAGGTGCTCCAGTTACTACAGTAACTTACCAGCCTTAATTGTTATGATATATAGCTAAGTGTTTTTACATTGTTCCTGTCTTGGCAATTCAGTATTTTAAATAGGTTTTCTAAACCTGCATATCAGTATAACAATTGATATCTTAAAACGAAAAACTAAAACTAAATCTTATCTAAGTATAAAGAGAATTAATCGTTGCAATTGAGGATTGCAACGATTTTTGCCTTAATTATTTTGTTGGACATATGTTCTAAAGTCTCAACATTCGAAATTCTATGAACTTCGGTAGTACTGTACCAGGGAGGCAACTTCAAAATCATCTCACAACTTTGTTCTGAATCCTTTGAAGTGCTTTTTTCCTGGTAGTGCAACAACAAGACCATATTGGCACAGCGTAAAGCATGGCCGGTCTAAAAACTTGTTTAAATATTAGAAGTTTATTCGTCAGGCAAAGTTT